AAAATCGAACACAACATTGGTCAGGTTTGTTGGTTCAGAATTTCTGAGAATGTTTTTTTATTATTATTTTTTTTTTTTTTTTTCGTTTCAACACAACAACAGAAAAAATAGTCCAACTAATGAGCTGTTTTGTCTCCGTCATTGTGCGCCGATGTTTGCATAAAAAACAATTCACCGTTGCTTTTATGAAAATTCTTTGTCCCAATGATTTGACAGATGCCATGGTGTGTCTAAAAGGACAGGAAAATTAGTTTGATCGTTGCTCGCACTGGTGTCTTGTGTAGCCGATTTTGCATGGTTTGATTACTTGTGTTTGCTTTAGACTGAATGACTACATCTTCAGTAACTGAGGAAGGCACAAACATATAGTTGGCTGACTCTATCGTTCACTCATTTCCGCTTAAAAAGTAGTAGTAGTAGTAGTAGTAAAGTAGTAGCTGATAGTCTGTGGTAATCATAGAAAACAGAATTTTGTGAAATGCTAGGCTGTCAATCGTAACTGGTAGAACAAACTGTTAATAATTAGGAAACCTTTAAACAATATTTGGCAGCTGTTAAATGGGTCGTTCTATCACTCTTTTGTTCTCTTTCGTCTTACTAATAAATTTTCATGACTGAGGGAAACATTTTCAATAACAACTCAAAAGTAACAATACCAGTGATAATCGCTAGCTTTTAGCTGCAGTGTAGGGTTATTCAACGGAAGGCTTCGCTATCGGTGTGTTTTAAATTTCATCCACAGTATAGAGATTCAAAACAATCGATCGCATATCCAATTCTTTAAAAAGACAATGTCAACGATGAAAAAACAGTTTATTGGAGAATGTAGCAAGTTAAGAATCGTAGAACTGACTGACTATTTAAGATTCCATATGTACTTTTCTTCACCGGCAAATATAGTTTCCTTTCTCTTCATGGCAGAAGAGTCCAAAAAAATGAAATATGAGAATAACCCGAGGAATTATATCTCAAACTTTCCTCAACGGTCTTTTTTTTGTTTGTTGTAATTTGTTTTTTCAAGTTTCACTACTTTTTCTTTTATTATTGGTAAGTTATATGAGCATATATTATTTATTATTACCCAAAGGCTAGACTTAATTATAGCGTCAAAGACCTACATTTTTACTCTCATTTCCTTTTTATTTTTAACTTTTGCAGAAGGGTTCAAAAAGAGAAAATTAAAGAAAGAATAAAAACACACAAAAGAGAAAAAACGCAAATTTTCTCACTTTCTGTAGGCTTCTAGTTTATAACAATAGCTTTTTTAACTTTTTGTTTTATTATTATTAATTATTGTTATTATTATTATTATTTATTTTTTTGTAAGGTAGAAGAATTCTATTTTAATCAAGTAAATTACACTTTTTAGTACACCTCAACAACAACAAAAAGGATTAATTTTCTTTCTATGTGTAAAACAAGTATAGTTAAAATACGTGTCAGTCATAAGCGCAAATTAACATCACAGACTATTAATGATATTCTCAATACTGTCACTCACCAAGATCAGGTAAACCGTATATAGAAACCGTTAAAGGAAAGGAAATTTTAAAAAAGCTATAAAATTGTTCAAATGAAAGTCATCTAATGTGCCTTTGTTATATCTAAAAGGGGTTCTTGACCCTCTGACACACACAGAGAGAGATCAGATCCGATCTTAAAATTTCAGGGTTAGTTTGCTAGATTCTTTAAAAAAAATTTGGCTTTCAATACCCATACCACCATCTGTGCCAAAGACCAAGGGTGTGAAAGTACCCATTTCTATATTTAAGACTCTCTGTTGGGAATTTTCTCTTCCTTTCTTCTGTATTTTTGTGTTTTCAATCATTGATTACCGATAAATACAAACACTTATAAGGTGTTTCAATACAGTTTTTCAGAGGCCATACCGATATTTTTCAATCGCCTTAGAAGTGTTTTTTTTTCCTTGTCCGATCGCTATAAGTACCCAGTAATTGGCCATGGATTGAAATTTGTGAAAATGAGGTGTTAAGTTTAATCGATATTACTATGACAACAATAAACAAAAAACTTTGGAAATGATAAAAGCCTAATTTTGTGCGATCTAGTCCAGCTACATAAAATTGAACACTAGGAACTTAAAGTTTGGTGTTTAACAAACAATCTCCGTAAGAAGTAAAAAATTCTGTATGTTTGAATTCGACTAAAACGAAAATATATTTCAAACCTTAAATTTTCAATAGCCGTGATAGATTATTTAATAAAAACGTTATAAATGACTCAAATTATTCTTAGGTAGCGTCAGAATGCTGCTTGATATCATATTTTGATGCAAGGAAATTTTGGTGTATCTTCGTTCTTGCGATCTTCAAAACTAACCTGTTTTCTCACTCCCCGTATAATTAAGTGCAACTTCATTCGAAATTTGGATTTTAACGCTTTTCTGTATATCTCTGAAAGGCCTCGAACGAATTTCTCGAACGAAAAATCTCTTCACATAATGTTCATAGTGTATATAATAAGGTCTGAAGCTTTCATCGAGATTGATTTACTTCAACGTCTTAAAATTGTAAGACAAATCTATCCTACGAACATGTCAAAAAACTGCGTTATGTTATGTTTGACGTTAGGCTAATTATTCCAAAATAATGCGCACTTTACCTCATCTTTATCGCATCTTTTGAATGTAAAACATTGACAATACTCACACTAAATGTACTAGTCATGGATATATGTATTGTCCGAATTAATTTGGAAAAATTAGCATAACATCAAAACACTGAATGTAGTGGCGCGTGATTTTTGACCGGTTCGTAAGATAGGTTTGTCTTGAAATTTCAAGGTATTCCATGAATCAATCTAAATGAAAGTTTCAGACATTATTATATACATTATGAACATTATGTGAAGAGATTTTATAAAAATTTGTTCTTGTCGTTTCAGAGACAAGCTAAAAGTCCAAATTTTGAATGAATTTGCACTTAGACAGGTGGTGAGAACACGGGTTAGTTTTTAACATCGCAACAACGAAAATGCACCAAAATTTCCTAGCATCGAAATATGATATTAAACAGCATTCTGATGCTACTTAAGAATAATTTTAGTCATTTATGACGTTTTTATCAAATAATCTATCACGGCTATTGAAAGTTTAAGGTTTGAAATATATTTATATACAGAAGTTTTTACTTCTTACTGAGGCTATTTGCTGAACACCAAACTTTAAGTTACTAGTGTTGGATTTTCTGTAGCTGGTCTCAGTGGTCTAGATCACACAAAATTCGGCTTTTATCAGTTTCAAAGTTTTTTGTTTAATGTTGTCAGAGTATCGATTTTACTTAAAACTACATTTTCATACTTTTCAATCCATAGCCATTTACTGGTGAAAATTTAATAGCGATGGGACAAGGAAAAAACTACTTTTAAGGCGATTGAAAAATATCGGTATGCCTTCTGAAAACTGCATCGAAACACCTTAAGTGGCACATTAATAAACGGTTGGCCTTGGCCTACTGGGTAGTGCTTCTGTTTGACTGAACCAATCAGAACCAATTCTGAACCTTCTAAACCAATCAGAAGCACTGCTCAGATCTGGGTATTTGCACGTCATCAGAATTGAATTGTTTTATACATGTCTCTGACGTCATTCCGCAGGGAAACCGTCGGTGACGTCGCGGAAAACTTTTTTAAAAGCTCGTTGGCTTCTCGGAGATTTCCTTACCTCAGTCACCTTGCCAGCTGGTTACTTATTTTAATTTCATCTTATTAATCTATTTTTAATGATTTTATTGCTACTTAATGTAACTTAACTATCTGCCCAAACTAATAGGATAAAATAAATATTCTCAACCTACGCCGAACTGAGTTTAAAGTATTTCAGACGATTAGGCCTCCCAGCACTGCACGCTATCTAGTAAGCAGATCACAGGCCTCAGGAGAGTTACGTTTGACACTGATTTCAGATTCACTGATTGCCCTTATTTATTGGATAATATGAACGTTGCTATCATTGACTAACTAGCCCGAAATAAATTTTACTGTTACTACCAATAAAGCTTAAGCAATGGCCGCGGGCTGGGTATCACCAGCAGCGACTGATAAGAAAGAGTCATCGAAAGAGGCGGGAGGAAACAGAATTTAGTCTGATTTTCAGTCCCGGTAGATTGTCACCGGCCCATTTTTTGCAAGCACCAATAAGCTTTCTCAATAAAATAAGTTCGTCAACACTGACTTTCTAGGAGCGGATCACGGTCAGATATGCTTGCGTTCGCATTGAAAATTGTTAAAAATGTAAGTGTTTACACACAAAGTTCCAGACTCTTAATTCAAGTGAATTTATTTTCTAGAATCGGAACAAAAATATGGAATGAAATGCTTGTATCTTTAAGAAAACTTTCACAAATGCCTTTAAGAGGAAAATAAAACGAACACTTTTTGGAATCCTAGCTTCAGAAGACTGTTATATTGATCTCACAGAAATTGTTCAAAAAGTTAAGTTGAATTTATTTTTCTCTTAGTTAGTATGTAATCATTAAGATCGGTCTTAAGGTCTCACAGGTATTTGCCTGTCATAGACGTTTCTCAAGGCAAAATTTTGGCTTAGGGGAGGGGTATGATCCACTTAAAGGAGCTGTGTCACGAAATTCAGCCAAATTAGGCTGAAAATGCCCGTTAAATTAAGAGAAACGTAAAAATAACCGCTTACAAAATTAAAGGAAGGCTAAAATAACACAACAGATACAACAGATGCCACGGATGGGCAAAACTGAAGAAGACTGAAACGGATTGAAATTAGGGTTTTTGAAAACTGTTCAGCCTAACAGTTTTTCAAAGTTGATCTCTGCTGTTTGCAACTTCAAAAATAATGCTCAGGAGACATATTTGTTTGCCTCGAATCTCTGATTTTGTCATTTCCTTGTAATTTCCTTGCTTATTTTAAGTTCCATACCGATTGAGGGCGAGCAATTGGCAAAATTAAGCAAAATGAACTAGACTGCCGTGACACAGCCCCTTTAAGTTCAGTTGATGAGATGCTGAAATTACGATCTTTTGGAATCAAAGATGAAGTAAATCCAGTAAATGATGTTGACGATGGCAAATGTCAGCGGAAACAGAATTCTACAGCGGCTGTCAATGACTTGCACGTTGAGGTCATGCTCCGTGAATAACTTGACCTTTTCTCGCAGGTTGTTTAACTGTTTCTGTAAGTACCTGGTTTTCAAGTCGTTGCTATCCGTTTCTTCCATGTCTCTGCAGGATTCATCTCGCTGCAAAAAAAAAAGAATAGTTCAGGGTAATTTTTATGAACTGCATGCGTTTACAGGCGACACGTATGAAGCAAGAGTTGCCCTTCCTTTGCCATCGCTATTTTTTTAGTTGACTCTTCCGCTTCTTTCGTGCTTGGCAACCTCCAGCGTACATGAATGAACAATATTTCATATCTCAGTTGGTACGAGGACTGTGATTGGCCAGTTAAGCAGGCCGTATTTCACACTGTATGGACAGTGAAGTCAAAGGTTTTGTTTTGTCAATTCGTGACAGAAGAACATAGTAAAGCTTTTGACCATGTATGTTTCTTGTTAAACGAATTTTTTTGACAACTGACAAAACCACGATTTTGGACGCGGTGTGTCTAGGATTTGATGTGCGGTATTGATAATTTAATACCCTCTCAGTCTCTACTTATAACAATAAATATAATAAACATCTAAAAATGTATTTTATTTAGTATTTATCTCAATTACAGTAGAAAAATCATTCCTACAGGTTATAATTCTGATTTAACAATTAGCTGATGACTTGTAATAAACTATAAAAGAAGTGAATAAAATGACGGTCGAATTCACTTACTGGTTATGGCCAACTCGGGTGCTTCGCGCTTTGTTGGCTATCAGCAACCTCCTATCCAACGAGCGCTCAAGGAATAATTATAAATGCCATGTTTCGTGGATCTGTTTAGTTTCTACTACATCAGTAGGAGCCTTAGATTTATGTCATCATTCCACTTACCCCGCTCTCCATGTCAACGTCGTTTAGTTTGCACTTAAGTGTCTCATGTTTTCTTGCCTCCAAGCTGTCATGGAAATTGATAACAGCAAACTCGACCAGAGCACCAAACACATACACAAGACAGGTCATTAAAAACCAGTCGCTGTACTTTGTGTACGTCACTCGCGGCAGAGAATTGCGCACAGCTGCAGTTAAGGTTATCATAGTAAGCACCTGATAAAAGCAGAATTTTAAATGAGACTTATTTTAAACAAGACATCATTAAGAGAGAGTAGTCAGACACAGAGAAATCTTGCTTTTGTTAGGTTGTTGTTGTTGTCGTTTGTCAATTTGGTCAGTTTACCATGTTGTGTTTTGTTTTGTTTTTGGCTGTTCGGCCGTATGAGTTTCAATAGTTCTTAAAAAAATTTCCATGTTTGAGCTCTTTAACTATTATAGTCTAATCAAAATTCCATTTTAAAAGATCTCAACATTTTTAGTGGGAATTATTATAATCAAAAATTGGGATTAAAACCTTACGTCTATCAGATCTAAAGCTCCTCTTGCTATTCATTATTAATCTTTGAATGTCCGAAGATATCATAAAGAATTCATAAAAATTACAACGAAATGGAAATAATTAAGCGTTTGCAGCCAGGTACTTGCAGGTAGAAAAAAGCTGACATTTCGTGACCCCACCAAGGGCTTCCACGCGAAATAGCGTCTAAGGAACAAGCGCAGAAATTCCTTACTAAGGAGGTGTCACTACTCAGATCTAGGTAGTGCTTCTGATTGATTGCAGCCAATTTTAAACCAATCACAAGCACTTAGTGACGCTTCATCAGTATGGAATTTCTGCACACGTTCCTCGGAAGCCATTTCACGGGGAAAGTGGTGGCCTCGAGAAATGTGTCTGTTCTCTTAGGCTACCGGAGAGAAAAGTCAAAAAATGAGCTGACGAGATGGAGACTTAACTTGAAAATAATTGAAACAAGTAAGCCTGAAGGATCTAACTGGTTTTGGAGGAACCAGGAAATACTGACCGTTGTGATGCACAGCGCTACTCTTGCCGGGGCCGCTTTGTAGTTGATAAAAAATGACACCCACGATAACGCCACAATCATAATAGATGGGATATACGTTTCTGTTATGAACAAGCTTAGTCTTCTGTGGAACGTAAATACCAGGCTTAACATTGAATAATTCCCTGAAAAGCAATAGATAGCTAGATGGTATCACCCCATGCAAGGTAATCGAAAATGTTCTTGGATTCTGGATATTTCTTGCTGTGGATTCTTGGTTTCAGGTGCTGGATCTCGATTCCTCGTTAAAAGAACTTGGATTCTGGATTCTACTCATTAGCGAGATTCCGAATGCCTTAAGCTAGATTGCGGAGTCCAAAGCCCAGGATTTGGGATTGCACAAGCAAAAAAGCAAAATGCCCCGGATTCCTGAATTCGGATTACTTTACATGGGGCGAAAGGTGTATCAGTCTCCTCAGTCTTAGTAAGTACCTTTCAGGGGCACCCAACGAAAGTTCCCCCCTAAATGCATCGAAAGCATTTTTTAGTCTATCCAGAGAACTTTTAGAAATTCATTTTAAACGTCGCCTTAAAATTTGTATCTGTTCGGTCATCCTAGGGCAACTTGAGTCTTTTCGAAATTACAAGGGCTTCAGAATTATTTTCCCGAAAATTTTAGATGCAATTTAAACTTTTACGAAAGAAAGAATTTTTCTGATTCCTCTCCCCATCGCATAATTTTAGGTTTCGTTTTTCTACGAGTAATAACTTTAGCCGGGAGTGAAACGCGAGAAATTAAACTTTAGAAAATCGTAGGGAATTTGTATGTGTAATCAAATGGTGACGAGTGAAATTAGGGAATAATTTCACGCGCATTTTGTCCAAATCCTAATAATTTTCCGAGCCTTTAGGCGAGGGAAATTGTTAGGATTTGGACAAAACGCAAGTGAAATTATTCCCTAATTTCACGAGTATACCATTTGATTACCTATTAATATCATAGGTGACGAATTACGTTAGCAATTGAGGATTTTTGACTTGTTTATGCTGAATCGTATGGATCGATCGTGAACTCCACTCTCTCAAACGTTTAGAGCTGAAATTTGTCTTAAGTTTTCAGAATTTTTCGACAACATACCTCTAGGAATCCTTCTTGATGTGGTCTTTCGTGTGTTCAGGTTTTCTAAAGCGTCTTTTTATGCCCTGACATCTTCATTCATGACATTCGTCGCCACCTTGACACTGAGACGTGCGGCAAGTTGCCATGGCAATTTAGTAATTTCAAAAGTGAAATTACAAATTAACGCTAAAATTTCGCGCCAAAATTAAGGAGTAATTCGTCACCTATGATATTAATTAGATAAGCTTCGAAAATTGTACATGAGTAGAAGAACGGTCATCCAGAAATTTTTAGCCTTCCTCAAGCTGTAGAAAATTCTAGGCAATTTTTGCTTCTCCGAACAGACATTTTACAGAAAGCAGTCGTTGGGTGCCGCTGAGCTTTAAGTTAAAGGTAAAGGTAGAGGCTTCTTGTTTTACGTTGGTTTCTTGAAATATCCATCATCTAACAATCAAACTTGAGGCCCTATTTTAACTTTGTGTTACTCCTCTCAAACTATTAGTATTCCAATTAAAGGGGAATTCAAAGTTACTTTAATCCACATGGGAAGGAAGGAAGGAAGGAAGGAGGTCATAACTGGAAATTAAACTCAGGACCTTTCGCACAGAGGACAGCGTCATTCCAACTGTGTTTATTCTTACCTCTTTTAAAGAGGCAATCGTAACCACTGCAAAAGTATTAACAAAGTAATCCAGAAGATCCTAAATGAAGGTATGTTAGCGATAGTGACTGACATTGCATGAAGACGTCCACACAGGTTGCCAAAAGGTCAGCCATAGTCACTAACAGCCAGGGCCAGTTTTTCGAAGGCCGATTAGCGCTAACCCAGGGTTAAGTTTTTAACCCGGGTTTCTTTTCCTTTTGTTAAAAAGCATTCTCCGGATAAACAAAAAAGCAAAAAGAATAAAACTGAATTTGCCTTTTGAGCTTTCATTCCCGATTTGAAATTTTGCACTAACCCTGGGTTATCTTAACCCTGCTTTGAACAACCTGGCCCAGGAGTATAGTTACCTGGACTCTTCATCCTACTTATAAAGGGACTCGCTGGCTCAATCGTAAAAAATTTGTATTCGATATCTGCCTAACGGTAGCCTCCCAGCATCCCCTTTTTATGCCTACCACACACGCAGGCTACTTAATTAAAGATGAGGCATTTTGACCAACATCTAAAGGCATTTCCTGGTATACTTAACAACTTTACTGAATTATGACAATTGTTTTCTTACCTCTAGAGTAGACATCTTTAGTTCTAAATGCTCGAATACTAACAAGATCCATCTGCGGAAGAGAAATGTCTTCAGCACGTTCCACAGATCCAACGAGACCTTCCTTCCAGGTGTACATTGCATCAGTTTCCGAGTAGGAATCTAGAGACGAAACCGAAAAAAAAATTGAATTATCAAATCCAACTTAACCAAGTCATTTAGGTTACTGCTAACTATTACCTAAGCACGTCACCATAACAAAACCATAGCATTTTTTTCCTTTGAACCGACTTTTTATGAATACCAATTACCTTGACCATGAGACTTGTTATGTGGCCAAAATTATTTGTTGGTCGCCACAACACTTTGCAGGCCTGCAACTCAGTTTGCATGCATCACCAGAAATTGCTGGAGCAGGAACGTAATGTTGATATCCGTCCTTGTAATTATGATTTTTTTATTATTATTATTATTATTATTATTATTATTATTATTTTTATTATTTCATTTCATTTCTTTTTTTTTTTTTTTTTGCATCTAGTGGAAACTCGGGAAAAAAATCCGAGCTAAGATTATGACCAACCAGTTCTGAATTTTGGAAATAGCCCGTCGTACTTTGTTGGCCCTCTCAGAAAACGACCCACTTCACCCGTTTAGAGCTTTTGGCAGGCCTTTCTTGGAAAAATAGGGCCCAAGATTGTTAAAGTTAATGAACTAGACAAATTTTCTAAATACTAATTGTCTTCTATTTACATGAAAGGAGTTTGAGTACTCACAGCTCGAAATGTGTAGAACGCACGTCTGGTTGTCCAATGGATATGTCCTCAAATTCATTCGACAAACTCCAGTTAATGAGATCCTAAAACCGCGCCATTAGTAACATTTTAATGACTGGGCGAAAAATAGATTTGCAACAATATTTGCTAGAAGGCAACACAATGCAGTAAAGAAAACTAACGAACTTAGGAGGAAATCACGAGAAAACACGGATGGATGGATGAATGGATAGATGGATGGACGGATGGATGGATGGATGGATGGATGGATGGATGGATGGATGGATGGATGGATGGATGGATGGATGGATGGATGGATGGATGGATGGATGGATGGATGGATCGTGGACAAACGGAGGCATGTTATTAAAAGAATCTTATACCACTAACCTTATGCTTAAAAAAACTGTTCCATTGGGATAGAAGGAGAGCTCATAGTTCTTCTTTGTGATCTCATGGAAGTTTGATTTCTTCTCATGATTGAAGTAAGTGTCTGGAATCCAAATTTTTTCAAGTATGTTTCCCTGGGCAACGATGCGATCAGTACCGTTAAACCTGAGGCGAGGATCCTCCCACGTCTGCCTTAGATAGATTGTCATCCTGTAGTCCTGTTTGGTAGCATTTCAAGCAAATTTCAGCTTTTAGGAGTCGGTTACAGAGATCAAGCGATTTTAAAGAGAAAAAACGCTGATAAGATACTACTTACTATATATAATTACAATGAGCTGGTGTATGATCACCTAACTATTTAACATTATTGAAGAAGGGGTATACTTCGTTTTGACACCCTGTCCATAAACCTATTTTTCAGGTCTTCTCTAATTCGTGACTGCATATGCAGCGTACGACGTTCCTTACCATGCTAGTGATTGAAATTTCTCCGATATCAACAATGTACACTCCAACATGGACGATGACGGGCCTCCCTGTAATCGTAGGAAGAGAAAGCACGTTCGTTTTGTTGTTGTTGTGTTTATTTATTGTACTAATTTATTTTTTCTTGATATGAAATAAATTATGTCGCCATTTTGGACTACTTATTTGAAGACTGCGACAGGATAATCAAATTCAGGGGGAAAACCTATTAAAACAAAAACTATCTGATAGCTTCGAACCCCAATAACACACGTAGCAAAACAGTGGTGGCAAAATGGGAGCTTGGGGGGCGTTAACAAGTTACAGTCAGGAGTTAATTGATTTTCATTAAATTGTAGAAATGTCTTGACATTGCTCTAAAGATGCCATAACGCTTTCGGAGCATTTTTTTCTCCAAGTGGAATTCAGTTTGTGGCTAAAGCTGAATTACTTCAGAAGTTCCTGTGTTTAATGATAGCTTCGCTATTATTCTTGGCTAAATCTATATATCACATCTTCATTGAAACTTTGGTTACCTCCAAATTTTGGCCTCAGCCTGTTGTCATAATTTTCTAGCAGTGAGTCCAACGTCGCAGTTGCGTTCTTTGTCCGTTCTACTTCTAGGGCATTTCTAGAACACCAATAAACGTATTGAATTAAAAAAAAAAAGGTTTTTTACATGTTTTATGGCCTTCTATAAACAGCCACATTTGCCTTAATAACAATGTCTCTAGCAAGTGAAAACAATAGTGATAGTTAATATATCCCTTTTACCCAAGGCTGAACGTATTTAAATGTGATTTATGTAAATGTAAATATCTTAAAGTGTGATTAAAGGGAAACCTCTACAGCGACCTTGCTTTGATCACTATATGAGTAAATTATTAGCGGAAAACCCAACATTTCAGTTATTTTTTTTATTCTAAAAACTGAAATGAACAAAACAAGAAAACTGCACGATTTTTGAATTTGTGACGTCGATTGATGCTGCCGTTGTTCCAGCGTAATAATTATATAAATTTTGAAACCGGAAAATTTCATACCGAGAATAATGCAAATCTCAGTTTCCAGTTTGTGTCACAAGGGAAAAAATATGTGTCAATTCTCAAGCAAAGCACGGGAAATTTAATTTTTTTTCCAGCAGTCTATAAATCAGTTTGCTGTTAACAGTTGCCATCGTTTTCATAATTGTCATTCACATTTCATTTCCTTTAAATTTTAGTCTCACTCTTTTTCTGAGCTATCAAACTGCGGAGATAAACAGAAAGTGCATGGTAAATTGTTAAACCTGCCGTTCAATGAACGTTTAAGGCAAATTTTCCGGTTTTGGCCCGTGCTGGCCATGAATTGAAACATGCCAGTCAATTCACTTCCCTAAATTAATCACTACATTTCTTACAGGAGAGAATACATGTGAATTGTGGCAGCATGTCTACATTTTTTTCTTTCTTTAACATTCTGGCAAAGAGGAATCCAGGCTAGCAACTTTCACCACAGAAAGTTATGGTTACACCAACCCTCTCTCTCTCTCTCTCTCTTACTTTGACTGATTTGAGAAGAACAAAAATAGCAAGACTGAAAACTGAACCTACTCCACTGCGTCGAAATCCGCCTGAATGACGTCGCTATTGACAAGAAAAAAGGCTGGGAAAACGAAGAAAATTGCTCTCGACAACATCTTAGAAATATGAACTGCATCGACCCTGGATAAGTAAAAGGATTATCATTACTTGGTGTTATCGATGAAATGTCTCATCAATTATGGAATAACGAAGCAACGAAATGAGTTCTGAGTGGTTTATGAATCATTATTTGGAGTTTTCCTGATAAGTCGATCATATTAAAGATAATTACAAAACGGTATTGTCAATTTATCTAGAATGTAAAATCTAAGAACAATGTCTAAAATTAACTAAATCCATTTCAAGAAGTGGGACTATAAAATGGCTTCAAGTCATTAAGTTTAATTTTTAGTCTCACAAGCTTGATAGAAGCTCCGTTGTTTTATTTTAACTGCCTGTAAATAATTTAATTGCTTTGTATCTGACTATATTTTTATAAATGCGGCTGAGACCCTGGGTGATAGAATGATTGGTTTTGTTTAGTTGTAATCGAATTCTGAAGTGCAGTAGACTTATTGTAGCATCAAATAGAAGAAGTAAAATCGAATAGCAAGTTGTCCCGCGGTAAAATAATTCTGACTTATTATTTTTAAAGCAAATAAATTACTGTATAATTATTAGTAACATGAGATAACATGAGTTACTTACTGTATTGCTTTGTCTTGAGAAAAGTCTGAACTAATTATTAACTGTAAAATTATTAATTTTTGTCCTTATCAACTCTGTTATCCATCTTTAAAAGTCCAAATACTGTTATTATGGGTTCAAGGAAAATACCTCAAGTCACGTTATAACTTTGCTTTATAACAGGTGCAAAGTCTTATCAAGTTGAAAACAAGTTTCCATACAGTTGGGTGGTAGCCAGACTCAGACTGGGGAATTTATTGAAGGAATTAAAAAACGTTTCTGCAGATCCGTTATTAGACTTTTGAAAATTTAAGGCCAAACTTAGATGCAGATTATCAGAAGGTATCACAAGTTCACTAAAATTAAATGCATTAGCTTTAAGAACGGACGAACTTTAAATGTGACGACCACATTTTTTTACGACCAAATGAAGCTACGAGAATTATCTCTTCATTAGAGACCACCTAGAGTGGGGTTCAAGTGCGAATATTGAGGAACGTAGCCCTCATTATTCAGTCAGCTGGCGTCAATTAATCTCACCACTCAGTCGCTTTAACTGTTCAGAGTGATAGGAGCATTATTGTGTTTCGAATTGTTAGCACATGTTTTTTAGTATTGTTGCCCCAAAAATCGTCGTTGCAGATCATCGATCGCGTGATATCGCTTGGCCAGTGACTTCACCCGTGGAAGTTGAAGTTGGCCGGCTCAGTTCTGTCTTTAAATTGTACTATTACTATATATGTACTATATAGATGTCTTCATCATATATTTCATTTTACTTCTTATAAAGTCTGAAAGAGTTTCTGATCGGACAGAATTCTGGCAGGTTTTAATCTGAAATGGATAACTCGCTATGCGTTCAAGAAGGCATTAAGGGCGCCGATTTAAATTTGATACAACTTGAGAGGCGACGTCTTACGGATTCAAACGCTTAAAGATTTCTAACCATGAAAGTCTAATTAACTATTCATTGAGCGATGACACCTTCTCTGAATAAACTTTCAAGACAAGAGGAGAAGCAAACTGAAAATGACGTTGCCATGGAAAGGATTTTTTTTTCTAGTTAGGAGAGCCACGCTCTTAAAATTTGAGACAGCTGAGCGGCGAAAGACTAAAAGAATCAATGGCATATAGAGTTTTGAGTTTTTTTTTAACCACCAAAGCCTATATAGTAACTAGCTACTCAACGGTCGATGACACTTTCGCTACAGCCTCTTTCCAAAACAAGAAAACAAATAAAATACGGCTGGTGTATGAGGTATTCATAGACAGATCTTTTACGTAGGGGAGAGCTACCCTGTTGAAGAGTAAGAGGCAGTGAGTATTTAAAACAACACTGAAATCAGTAATAAACTGGGAGACAAATCGTGGAGATATATTGAAAATTTCAAGAGGAAAACCAAAATAATATATAAACAGGGGTATGACGGAAAATATGGGCTAAAAATCGCATGTTCGGCTACAACTTTATACAACATTCATCTTCTTTCAACATGCATGTACGTGTGTGTTCCGCGCCGATTAAAAGCAAACTTCATTATTTTTCCCACGATGTTCGGGGCCGTCTTAGGGTTTGAAATAAATAATATTGAATCCGTTATTATACGCCAAGGACGGCTTCTTAATTTCTTGATTTTCCTAACAGTCTTTGCGATAAACTTATTTAATGGCTACAATTCATCAAAGTTGTTACTGTATGCGGGGCCTACAATTAACTTACAAATAAACACTTAACAGCTTACCTTAAAAAGTCGGCTCGCGCGTATAGTACTTGTTCACAATTAACTGCATAACATAAAGATTTGGGAAGGCATAAGCAAATAA